ATTATGATCAATAGGTGGTGCTGTCTGGTGGCCTTGTCAGGAAGCACCACACTCCAAAATGTAATATTTAAAAAGACAGTTAATGTTCACATTTAAATTCTGTCATCATTTACTCACCCATATTTCGTTCGTTTCTTTCTTCTGTGGAACACAAAAAGAGATGTTTAGCAGAATGTTGTAGCTCCTCACAATGAAAGTGAATGGAAACAATAAAATAACATTTTTATTAATAATCTGACTGGAAGTGGGGTACAATTTAAGATGCCATGTCATTAAGTGAAAAGCTTCACTTTAGTGGTTACCTTGTGGGTTACTCGAGTTAAAAACCCATCCGTTTATCTGGAAAACTGGCACAGCTGCTGTTCAGGTGGGCTGCTGGAGTTTCGGGTCAGAGCGTTCTTGATGTGGGGGCATTCCGAAGAAAACTCGCTGACAACATTGTTACTTGCCAGCTTGAAATCCTACAGCTCTCAGCCGCTATCCCAAATTAACTTCGTGAATCAAAGCCTCCAGGAGCTGCAGCAATCCGGCAGGGACTCTAATTTTTTCCACTTATGCTGGAATGTGGCCTTCCAAGTGCCCAAGTCTCTCAACACCAACTATTTGCTGTTTGTTTTGACCGTTTTCCCTGTGGGGAGGGCGAGCAGAGGAGGAAAACGGTTCGGAGAAAGCAATGGAAACACTCGCCGACTGCCAAGACTGCATCCATTTTCTCCTGAAACTATTCAAAATGATGCAATGGGACTGTTATTGGGTTTCACCGACAGGAAAACCACAGGTACACACACACATAGGCTTGTGGGCGAGACACACCATGATAGACATCCAGAGCCTCCGAAGGGTTTCTTACCAGACAGTTTCAATGCCACCGTCTGAAGTCATACTCCAATTATGGAGCGCCAGGATGCAAAATACACGGAACACTTCATGAAACTTCTCTGTGCATAACCTGAATTTAACAAAACCCCATTCACTGTCCACTGTCCAGTGGAGCTTGTAAAATACCCATTTTTTTATGGTGGGACAGACACTCTCTGATGTCTCGTCAATGTTGAGCGTCTGACAAGCCCACTAAGAGGGGCCCGACCGGAGGAAGTCATTATGAGGTCACCCCCGGTCCTCCCGAGCACTTATGATGTCATCTCGCAGACTGGAGGTTTTTCCTTGGAATGCGTCTCGTGCCATTTTGGGGTTTTGAACGTGTGTCGCGTGTCTGGACGAGCATTAACGGGGGCACCGTTCACGTCATTCATTATGCCCCAGGATTCTCGATTCTCGATCCTCATGCAGGCCCGTCAATCAAGAAGCTTTACGGCCTCTCTGGTTGTACTTGTATTGTGAATTTTGAGAAAATCCCTTTGCGTTGATTAAACGTAATTTTATGTTTCCTCCGTGTGCACAACGATATAAATGACCCGCAGGAAAAAAATCACGGACATGGACAGCTGCAATCAATTATGCTGTTTCCATGACTACTCACGGTGTTAATTGATAAATGTGGTTTAGTCGATGGGGCCTTGAGTTTTTTAGGAGAAAATTTCAAAAGTGGAAACATGATATAATGGAGAAGTGCGTCTTTATGTGGTGTCCCCACCGTTACTTTATTAGCTTCAAAGAGTCCAAAGCAATGTTGGATGTTGTTTTGATTGTTCTAAATGTAAAAGGATAGCAGAGGTCCCAACAGTAACAGCACAAAGAAACAACTGTTGCACTCTCAGGAAAAATAAAGGTACAAATGTGGTCACTGGGGCGGTACCTTTTTAAAAGGTACTAATATGTACCATTTAAGTACTAATATGTACACTTAAGGTACTAATATGTACCTTTGGCCTACTTGCATGCACCCTTTAGGGGTAAATAATGTACAAAGGTGTACCTTTTGAAAAGGTACTGCCCCAGTGACAGCATTTGTACCTTTTTTCCCCCGGAGAAAGTGGAATTACTTTCACAAATTTTTTTTTATTTCCAGCAGATGAACAATAAAAATCTTTACAGCCAATCAGAATCCATTTTGCTTTAAAGAGCTCAAGCATTTAAAGCATCATATGATAGAACTGCAGAACATGCTTATAATAACCTTATCGCGTATTGGTGTGGAGTCTGTGGACGCTAATATATTTATTGTTCTTAGTGTGAACGGCCATAACAAGTAGCTATAACGATAATGAGTCAAAATTCTTTACCCTTTAACTAAATTAACTAACCCTCCATTTGTTCCAAACCTGTATGAGTTTTTTTCTTCTGCTGAACATAAAATAAGATATTTTGAAGTATGTTGATAACCAAACAGTTGACTGAAGCCATTGCCTTTCATAGTTTCTCCATAGAAGTCAGTGGCTACATTCAACTGTTTGGTTACCAACATTCTTCAAAATATCTTGTTTTATGCTCAACAGTAGAAAGAAACTCATAATGGTGTGGAACAGCTTGAGAGTTAGTAAATGATTACAAAATTTTCATTTTTGGGCAAACTATCCCATTAAGGCACGTACTGCAGGGTTCAAATAACAGGTGTTGATGGTAATATGATTATTATTACGGTATGAATGGGCCTTAAAGCTTTTACATGACAATTTAAAAAGACAAATTATTATTTCTTATTCCAGCAGAAATTGAACTGCATGTAAACTGCATTCTGTGGATTAGTCAAGTTTTGACTGGTTTTCCTGGTTCAGTTATGCCCTGCTGGTAGATGTCACCATCTTAGGGCCATCTTTCGTTAAACAGCTGATACTCTTACGAAAGACTTCCTTCTCTACTAAATTCATCAGCCAGTTTCCACAGTAATTCGCAAAAAGTCAGCCATGCTTCCTGTTTAGCAACATTAAATATAATTGCCAAGATAGGCATATTTTTCGTGTATCAGGCTTCTGTCTCTTTCCATGAGCACAGGAGTCACGCTCCGCTGAATTACTGCTACCACATTCATGTTTTTGTAGAGTTGAGGGAAAACCACTGGAGCGCTGATAATGACTGTTTCTTAAGATATTTTTAGATAACTGACATCCCAAAACAGAATGTGCCTGGCGTACTGGACGCTAATCATATAAATAACAGAATAATATCCAGACAGATGGGCCGCCTTTTAGGACAAGATGCGTGCGCTACCCTCCACTGACTTGGCGTATGTCAACTTTGGCTGAACTGATCGAAGGACGAACTCAGCACTGACTGGTCATCTAGTTGGCAATCTGTCAGTGACCATAAAATTTATGCAGAATCAGCACGAAAAAGAAAAGAATAAGCACTTTACTGGATAAGAATGTGTTATATGATAAAATACCACAGCCGTTCATTGCGGCTGTCACGTGATTAATGGTCGAGTGACTCAGAAGTCAAACTAAGTTAATTCGAGAATACTTTTTGTGCACAAAGAAAACTAAAATAATGACTTTATTAAACTCCAAAAATTATTCTTGTAGCATCGAAACATTACGGTTGAACCACTGATGTCACATGGATTATTTTAGCGATCTCCTTGCTACGTTTCTGAGCCTTGATCGTGTAAGGATCCTTGCTGTCTATGGGAGGCCAGAGCGCTCTCGGAATGCATAAAAAATATCTTAATTTGTGTTCCGAAGATGAACGAAGGTCTTACATGTTTGGAACGACATGAGGGTGAGTAATTAATGACAGAATATAAATTTTTGGGTGAACTATCCCTTTAATGAGATGAGTCGTTCAAGATTCGATTTGCTGAATGAGACGAGTCGGTACTGAAACAATACTGTGGTAGATGCATCCGAAATGCTGTTAAACATTATTTACCCGCGAGAGTGATAAAGAAACATGATAGTATTAAGAAAAGAGACTGGAACGTTACGTGATAAAGCAAATGAGGAAAGGGTGAATTCAAGGATGCTTATAAACGTTGCGTGAATTAATTTAAAATTCACGCAATGTACGGTAATTCACTAGTTTCAGTTTGTTTGTTTGTTTATTTATTTCTTAACGCCAATCCAGCATCTTTGGCTATATTCATGGCGAGAACCAGTTAATCCATACACAAGTCGATCCATAAACAAGTCTTGTCTTTACACACACGTCTGGGGAAAATTTAGAATGTTCAATTAACCTAACCTGCATGTCTTTGGGCTGCGGGAGGAAACCGGAGCACCCGGCGTAAACCCACGCAGCACTAGTTTCAGCTCACTGGCTTCAACTATTTAGCAACATTTTGCTTAAAATGTGCCCCATTTAGTTAGTATTTTGAGTCGCGACTATTCTTATTACAACCAGTTTTCGGTCTTTTCTTTTCAAATCACCCTTGCACGGATGATTTGTTAAGAATTCCCTAAAAACATGTCAAAACAACCTAAATTGGTCTCTGCTGGCGGGTTTTAGAGGGGGTTCGGGCACCTTACCAAACTTGGAGACCACCTTAAACCTGCCAAGACCATCTTAGTTTTCAGCAGTTTTTTTGGTTTGTAAACAATTTAAATCTCTGAATTACCAAAAACATGGTTATATAAACCACTTTATACTAAATTTCCAGCAAAAATAACTCGAAACTCGATACCATGAAACACACCATTACTGTGATATAAAAATTGCACAATAACACTCCTATTACTGGAGAATGGAGGTATTTCAATATAAATACCACATAAAATATTACAGTGCTTTTCATGCTTGGTAAGCAATTTTGTGTTGTAATCTGATATAATATTATTTAATCTACACTGCCCTACAAAAACTTCAATCCCTGGAGATGCTGGCAAATTAACAAAGGACTGCAATCTCCACACGGAGAGGCTCACAGCCTTGAGACCGACGTCTGGAGTTGAGAGGACCCGCAGGTGGACGGCCTCCACGAAATATGATCTATAACACACAATACCGTCTGATCAGCGGCATCTGGGCCTCTCAGCAGAGGAAACGAAACCAACTCCCAGACCCTCGCTGCATATAATTCAGGAGTCCTGAAAATCACCCTCGCTGACCTGTGGCGAGAAACCAGAAGAGAAAGAGAAAACAAACTCCAAACACCCTTCAAGAAACACCATGTTTAATTAAAAAGTAACTGGTCTCTGAATTACAGCTGGTAAAGGTTTCACAACTGAACAGGTAAAGGTAAAAAAGAAAAAGCGACATGTTGACGCTGGTAGGAATCGATGGTTGCGCCATTTTTGGATGAAACGCTTCAGAAGGCGGTTTAAGAAAACATCAGGAGGTGTAAGTGAAGGACAGACGTCTGCAGCTTTGTTTCATGTCTTGTTTCCTTTGGCAAGGCCCAACGTTGGACATTTGTTTAATTTCAAATTCAGCTTCCTTGTCCAAGGATTAGCAGTTGGGCTTGATTTGCTGTGGGGCACTGACAGCCCGATACGGAAACGGGCCTTTCCGAGTACACAAGGTTTTGGGTTTGAAACCACACCGGTCTCTCTTTTAACGCTGCACTCGAGTCCTGTGGGAATCTACGAGCGGCTGGATGTATTTTCTTCTAACATAAAAAAAGGCAAAACATAGCTCAAAACACATTATAATGACATGTTCAATATCAGATCTGGCGCTTGATTCCTGCCAGCAACATGTCAATGTCCTCAGAGAGCAGCAAGTCTAAAAAACCTCATAGAGTCGTAACTGGCGTGTAATTTCTGGTTTAGAAAACTCGAGGTCGCAGCTCCCAATGGAGGGATGTTTTCGTTTTGTTCTCTAGGTGAAAAGACGGACTGTTCCATCGGCCCCTGAGGAAAACACCCAGGGTTGGGTTGGGTGGAAGGTCACATCGAGGACCCCGAGGTCATGAGTGATGGTGTGACCCTTCAGAACCTTCACTGGAACAATCAGAGGATTCTGCAGTAAGTCACTGCAGGATTAACACAGACATTAGAAAGGTTAGTGTTATTCACAACTGGCTCTGAATAATGTTTTTCATGAAGTCTGGCTCCAATAACAGAACTTAAATGCCTGAATTCTTTTCTGCCAATAGATGTTTCTTCAACTACGGGCACTTTTATGGCACACAAGTTGATTTTGATTAAACCTAACAGATTCAAAAAACCTTTTTTTTTTTGTTATATGAAGGTCATATTAAAACCATCTTTGAAACATTTTACCATGCCTTCATTTATTTTAGTTTCCTTTAAAATGTATTTTATGCTTTTAAATTTAGAAATATTAAATTACAATTTTTTTTTACTATAATTTTTTTAAATGTCCTATGGGCATAGTTTTTTTATTTTTTAAATGACTAATTATTTAATTATGAATTAAATTTTGTATGTTTTCAGTATTAATGTAATACAATTAATAAAACCCAAATCTGTACATTTTAAATCACATTATTGTGAAGTTCATTTTTTAAAATAATTATCACATGCATAGAATTTGAATACCGAAAAATTTATAAATGTCTCATGTACAGATTTAATTATTAAATCATGAATTGTTTTACATAAAATATCTTACATGTCTTTTATGCACACATTTTATTGTTTTTATTTTTTAAATAATACATTTATTAAATTATAAAATTTTGAACACTATAATAATTTATACAGAGTAAAAAACAAATATTTGTCAAAATGGTTTATAAAAAAATTGCAATTTTGACCACAAATGTAACCATTTAAACAAAATTCACAAATTGTTTCTAACAAAAATGTATCAAAAGTTAGTATGCTTGCTTATCAAAGATGCATTTCATGGAAAGATGGCAGAACTAAATAAAACCATTCAAGTCAGTTTTTAATTTCAACATTAACACTTAACTCTTAAATATTAAACCTCAAATAAAAACACAGAAAAAAAATAATTTATAAACTGCTAACAGACCTCACTAGTCTACTTTACTATATCTACTCTATTTTTAGCTTAGCCAATCATCCTGTCCCATCCCAACGAAAACGGTTCCTTTTTCTCTACCCAAATTTTGTGGTAAAATCTGTTGGCCATTTCTTCTAACTGTCTGAGGGCCGTAACGGCCATAAAGCAGTGAATTCTGGAAATATGGTTTGCTGTATATGCATCAACAGTTTGACTGGGGAAAGTAAGAAGTGGAAAAATAACATGACATCCTCAGTTTGAGTATAAAGAGATCTATTAAGGCCAGCTGATGAAGGCTTTTCATCCAGATCTCACTTGCCCTGTACCATACACGGATCATTAGCTCCGCTCAAAGAGCGTCCCTGACCAAACTGCAGGAATGATAGTCTACCCCTGCAGATACACTGGACACGTGCTCGGGAGAAACAGACAGAGAAGAAAAGACAGACATGAGAGAACTACACCACGTTAAGAGAGACAGGCCGTGCTCAGAACAGCATATCACACTATTTATGCAGTATGTAAACTGTGTGCAGTACGCAAGGTTTCTATATGCACTAAAATGTGCAGTATACAACCAGATTACACTGCACAATCTACAGTTTCCCACAATGTACTTGACTTTACTATTCTAATGTGCCGGTAGCAAATTAAAAGAGTTGCTGGTAGCAATTGACTTCCATAGTATGGAAGAAAGAAAATACTATGGAAGTCAATGGCTACCAGTAACTGTTTGGTTATCAACATTCTTCAAAATATCTTCTTTTGTGTTCAACAAAACAAAAAAAAATGACAGGTTTGGAACAACTTGAGGGCTAGAAAATGCTGACAGATTTTACATTTTTGTGTAAAGAGATTTCAGACACAATTTAGTTAAGGAAAAAAAAACAAACCTTTAATTCAAAGATTATGACTGGATGCAACTCACTGAATTAAACATGAGATATATAAAACTTTCAAATATTTATTATATTATATGATCTATTATTCAGATTTATTTATTTTAAGTGGTTGGCATTCATTTATAATATATTTAATTATTAAAATGTATATATTTAAACTATCCAACATTACACATAAACATTATGTTTTTAATATTATCACTGCATACTGCAACATTTTATTTTATTCATTAATTTATTTATTTTATTACTAACATTTATAGATTTAAACTAGTCAGCACCATATATTTATTAATTTATTTATTCATATTTCATATATTATTTTAAAGTAGTGGGCAGTACACTAACTACACAGTATGCCCTACATTAGTATATAACAGTTAAAAATTATATCAAGTTCAAAATGAAATACTACTTTACTAAATACAGCACAGCATATACTGTATACTGCATATGTTTTTTTTATTATGCGTTCCTGTCACATGACCTCAATTCTGAGTTTTGGCAGTCCACTGAAACAGAGTCAAGAGAGATGTTAGAAATGACATCTAATATTACTTCTAGTTCATTTGTTACACTGGAAATGGAAAGTTGAGCGCATTGCATTGTGGGAAACCGTATTCCTTGAAATATACTCTATTGTATACTGCACATGCTAGCACAGATATAATATGCATAGAGCAAATTAGCTTATGGCACACATTATGTACACTATGCACAGTACGCATACTATTTACTGCTAGTATGCTATTTAAAACACGGCCAAAGAATGGAGAGGGATTAGAAAATCAAAGAAGAGAGAACCCTGCAGACTAAATGACACTGGGAAAGAGTAAAACACAACCCGGACAGGAAGACGATCAGACTCACTTGTAGACCATCCCATGACAGACGATGACGCTGCCGTCATCAGAGCCGGACGCGAACAGCGGGTAGTGCCTGTGGTAGGCCACGCTCCTCAGAGCCTTCTTATGATGTCTGCATGGACAGAGACACAAGACAGACCCGTCAGCGTCCCGACAGCAGAGGGACGTTACACAGAACTGCTCCAAGTCCCAGAAGGAGACATTCATTCATTTGACAGGCCCAGCATTACCAACAATTTCCCTCGAGTCTGCCCCAGACTGCCCAAATTATAAAAACCTGCTCGTGCTGACTCACCGGAGAACTTTGTATGGTTTGGTGGACAGGTCCAGATCAAACCAGGCCAGACGACAGTCGTAGCTACCGCATATCACATTGTCGCCTGTGGAAAACGGGTAAAATAGGGGAAACAAATTACATCTGACATCCAGAGAGTGGTCACTGATGTGATGTCACATGTCACTTTAGGGACATTTTTGAGAAACCAAGACGAATATTAAGCCAGAATAACTTTCCTCTGGTCACCTCCAAACACTCACTTTTATATAACAGGCTAAAGAATGCTGCCAGTTTTCATTTCAAAGGTTACCGTCCATAGTCGTTTACCCAAAAATGAATGTCTTCTCATTTATTCATCTCATTCCAAACCAATGACTTGCTTTCTTCACACAAAGTATTTTTTAAAAATCTCCAAGCTGATATTTTCCATTCATTCAAAGCCTATTCTGGACATCTTGAAGCTCCCAAAAGGACAAAAGAGCACCATTAAAGTAATCTATACGATTCGAGTCATCTGAAGTCATACAACAGACTAACATTTAAATCACCATTCACTCAAAATCTTTTTCTCTGCTGTAGCTCTCAAATCTCATTTGGACATAATAATAGAAACTCTGTGCATCATTTGGTTAGGAGACACACCAATGGTATTTAACATCAAATTTATATCAGCGTATTTTTATGTAAATTTTGAGCCAAAAAATGCTGTATGTAAGCAAGTTTTAAATACAATGTCCAAAGCTTAGTCAAGTCTGATGTAAGCAGAAGTACAAAAACTAAGATGGTAACAGTTACAGGATAAATTCTTAGATGTACATCAAAGTCATATTACACAGTCATAGGGCATCTGCTACTAACAAACCTGATATTCGCCATAAGCATGACATTTGATTTAACAAGAGCCACAGAGGCTTTTTCAGAGACTACAACTTGTACTACAACTTATATTTCTTTTTTTATGCCAATTAGGGTGGTTTATTGTTATATAGTTTATTGTTTAATAAACTATTAAAAATTATTTCTGTTGATTGAAATTAAGCTGAAATTAAAAAATTAGAAATGTTGTCTTGGCAACTAATTGAAATAAAATAAGTGTAATTACTAAAATTACTTAAAATAAAGCTAAATAGATATATAAAAAAAAACTAGTAAAAATGACAAAAGGACAAAATTATATGACTAAATCTTGAACTATAATTAAAAAAAAAGCTAATTCAAAATAATAAATAGCATAATAGTATATAAATAATACTAAAATAACACTTGTGCAAATTTTGATTTACATTATTTTGTTCTTTTAAACTCGCAGGATGCAAATGCTACGTTACTTACAAATTGTTTTTGCGATATTACATTTTTTAACAAATTAAATTTACAATTTGGATGGAAGCAGCTAACAACAATAAACCTGCTACATTTTAAACTTTATTTCATGCAAACACATGAGATTTGAGAGCTACGGCCTGAATTTCAATATGTTCCTTAAACCAAACTATAACATGGCTTCAGATGACTTCTTGAAAGACAATCAAAATATGATGAACTATATAAGAATAATGACAACGAAATAAACACCCAAAGCTACAAATGCTAAATAACTGCTTTTCAAACAGCCTTTAGGTAATTGATAATTTCATAATATTTAAAATGTAATATTTACTGTAAAATTGAAGAATTTGAACAGGGAAATTTCTTTGCCACAGTATGTTCAGACATAATTCCCATTAAAACGACTCGATTTTACTCACTAAATTTTATTGAGCAACAGTAAATGTGACTGCACTTTTACTCTGCGTTTTTAATTTGACAGCCCTAATATGCTTTCATTGCATTGGACATTCATAGGAGATTCTCCATAACATCTCCTTTTTGAAAAGAAAGAAAATTAGGTCTTGAATGAAATGATGGTGACCCTTTCAGAAACGTCCAGCTACGTACCTCCTGGATGGATGGCCATGCTTGAAATCCATTTACAGTTGGCCATCAGTTTCTTGGTGAGCTCCTGTTTGATGAGGTTGTATACTCGCACGTAGCGCTGCGTGGCCACGAAGAAATACGGCCTGATGGGGTGGAAGGACACGCACTGCACCAGACCCTTGTTCTTGCGGAAGGGGTTCTGCGTCCTGCGTTTGCTCACCTGGTGGATGACCACCTGGAGGCTGCTGCCATTGTCGGGCATCACACACGCCAGGTAGTCACCTTTCCCGTGCCACGTCACCTGCCTCACGGCCTTCAGAGAGAGAAGAGAGAGAAAGCGGGTGGCTGGAGGTCAGAGGCCAAAGTCATTCTGCGGTAAATCCACAGACGATTAATCCAATTATAACCTCAAAGACAAGCTGGGACTAAATTTACTGCCGTTATTAACGCCGGCTCGGCTTCTGCTAGTCTGCCAACGCGTGTCGCTGCTTTGCTTTTTCCAGTAGTTTTAATTGGACACTAGAGGCGTCTTAAATTTCTTTCCATTTCAGGAAAACGACGACCACAGGCTTGTGGCTTCTGCCAATAGTTAAAAGCCTCTGGCTGTGGCTCACGTGAGAGACAGACGGACGCTCTCAGAGGGGATGAGAGAAGGAAAGAAAGACTTTTCATTTCTATTGTTAACTGGAAAATATCGAATTAAACAGAGGAGAAATGTGACCTGCTAATGGTTATTGTGATGATGCCATTCTTATGAATATATAATCAGACCGTTGTGGTGTGTTTGTAAGTGTTTTGATTACCTTGGGGTGTTTGAGGATGAGGCGGTGACCCTGCTCGTGACCTTCGCCCTCTGCGACGGCCCACTGGACAGACTGATCCATCACTTCCTCTGGCTCCTCATAGGAAGAGATCAGTTGATCCGTAGCGGTGCAAACCAGCCGGTCGCCCAGACCAGGGTTCAACAGGACAACAGTATCATCACTGCACACAAACATCATGTTCATTCTCATCCATCTCACCATACATCAGATAAAACAAGCTATTTATCCAACCATCCATCTATCTGTAAGTCCATGTATCTAACATACCTATTTACCCATATTTAACCATCCATCCTCTACCTCTCCAACCAACCATCCGTCCAACCATCCATCATTTATACATTCATCTATCCATCCATCCATCCATCCATCATCCATTCATCCAACTGACCTACTACCTAACGTGCCTACCTAGCTAAAGTAGTCAACATTCGAAGTGGATCAAAAAAGCTCATCAAAGTTGTCCTAAGACAAGAACGCATTTTGGATTTAGGTTTTAGGACAACTTTGATGAAAGGTTTTGATCCACTTCAAATGTTGACTAGTGTATTTAACATCTATTGAACTATACAAACAACCTCAGAATGTCTAAGCATCCATCCATTCAACTATTCATAACGATTTGGCCACATAAGCCAAATAACTAACATAAGAATAGCTGCATTTCCATTACTTTTCAAATTGCACAAACTGGAATTGCGAATTGAAAATATGCCCAATGAAAACACGTAAATTTGGCAAAAACGCTCATATAATCGCAAAAAAATTTTATTTTCAGGCAAAAACGGTGGTTTTTCAGGTAATTTGAAAAAGGAGCCTCTCCGCGTTGCTTCGCTAAAGATACACGCCTATGTCTCGTTCAATTAAAAATAATGGCTGGTGCGGTGGCTGCAATATACGAAAATCTACCAACATCAGTCTCCATGACTTATCGCAAGAGGAAAACTTTATGTTTGAGTTGCATAACATTTTTAATGGAAACGCAGTCATTTCAAGTAGTTTTTTTACTCGACATTTATAAAACATTGCAAAGGTTTTGCATAAATCTGTAAGAAAAAAGCAGCTAATGTTTATCTATTTATTCTAGCTATTTATCTAACCTATTTACCAGACAACATTTGAACTATTTAAAATAACCAACATCAGAATTTTTATCTACGCACCCATATTGATTTACCTAACCTACTTTCCTAATAGGGCTGCACGATTAATCGAAATTAAACCGCGATAAATCGCGATTAGGCAGAAGCTGCGATTATCATGCATATCTTTCAGTGAAGCACGGTTCTGTGATCAGTAGTAAATCTCCATCCGAAGGCCAGAGGGCACTCTCGCGTGGAAACTCCAAATACGCCTCACAGAAGAAATCACTGCAGCTGAATAAACAGAAGATTTAACTGCTTTCCTTGATTCAACGTGACTAATAAACACAGGAAGTGTTTATTTCAAACACTCGACTGACGTTATGAAGTGAGTTTGGAGTAAAAACATGTTATTAAATGTCGTATTTTCACATGCTTTCAGATGGAGATTTACTACTAATCACAGAACCGGCTTTACTGACAAGATGCGCATGACTATTGCATTCGATTAATCGTGCAGCCCTACTTCCTAACCATCTAATTAACTAACAAATGAAAAAAGATGGCTATTTAATAACAAATACTCTTTAAATTCCTTGGAACATTCAAGAAAAGTTATTGAAAACATTACTCAAATTCCAAAATGACCATTTGACATTCTCATAATTGGTCTTTCCTGAGGCTTACTAAAATAAATCTTACTAATTAACCAGACTGCAGCTCTACACCCATTAAAAATAAATCCTGTAAATCATCTGCTGTCAAATAATATACATCACATACTGAATGTTACAAAACATACAGATGAACATTAAATTAACATTCAGATGCAGATTTTAAGAGAAAAAAGGGGCGGGTCTTACTAGCTGACAGCGACCAGACAGATGGACGGATTGGGATTCCAGGCCACGCCCTTCACGGCTCCGCCCACCTCTACCGTCTTCAGGCAGCGCGCCGTACTGACCTCCCAGAAACGCACCGTACAGTCATCAGAGCCTGAGGTCCAAGGGTCAAAACAAAAACGTTTACTTAAATGTATTCATTAGAGAATTTACATAAACTACTGTGTTTCAGAATGACTTAATAAAATGGGTTATGGGTAAATGTGTTTAACATGGTTGTGCAAATGTGCGCAGAGTTGTGTGTCACAGCGTCTGAACAGCTGAGAGGACACAGACGCTCAAGTCTCTGGCACAAGTAAAGCATACTGTCAGCTCAACGGCACTTCCTCTCTCAGCAGCACACATGGAGGATAACTCATCCTCGCGCTACACAACCACTGTGACACACACAGCAGCATTTTGGCACGAGTGCACTATAATAATACTAAGATTACTGAAGGTAATAGACAAAGAGAAGCCGGGTGTTTAAAGTTTGTGTGCTACTGCTGTTAGACAGTCATTATTCAAAACGAGAGCCATTTATTTCCTCTCATATACATACAGTATGAACAAAAATGACTAAAAATGAACAGTTATCATGCATATCTTTCAGTGAAGCACGGTTCTGTGATCAGTAGTAAATCTCCATCCGAAGGCCAGAGGGCACTCTCGCGTGGAAACTCCAAATACGCCTCACAGAAGAAATCACTGCAGCTGAATAAACAGAAGATTTAACTGCTTTCCTTGATTCAACGTGACTAATAAACACAGGAAGTGTTTATTTCAAACACTCGACTGACGTTATGAAGTGAGTTTGGAGTAAAAACATGTTATTAAATGTCGTATTTTCACATGGCATGTCATGGAGATTTACTACTAATCACAGAACCGGCTTTACTGACAAGATGCGCATGACTATTGCATTCGATTAATCGTGCAGCCCTACTTCCTAACCATCTAATTAACTAACAAATGAAAAAAGATGGCTATTTAATAACAAATACTCTTTAAATTCCTTGGAACATTCAAGAAAAGTTATTGAAAACATTACTCAAATTCCAAAATGACCATTTGACATTCTCATAATTGGTCTTTCCTGAGGCTTACTAAAATAAATCTTACTAATTAACCAGACTGCAGCTCTACACCCATTAAAAATAAATCCTGTAAATCATCTGCTGTCAAATAATATACATCACATACTGAATGTTACAAAACATACAGATGAACATTAAATTAACATTCAGATGCAGATTTTAAGAGAAAAAAGGGGCGGGTCTTACTAGCTGACAGCGACCAGACAGATGGATGGATTGGGATTCCAGGCCACACCCTTCACGGCTCCTCCCACCTCCACAGTCTTAAGGCATCGTGCTGTACTGACCTCCCAGAAACGCACCGTACAGTCATCAGAGCCTGAGGTCCAAGGGTCAAAACAAAAACGTTTACTTAAATGTATTCATTAGAGAATTTACATAAACTACTGTGTTTCAGAATGACTTAATAAAATGGGTTATGGGTAAATGTGTTTAACATGGTTGTGCAAATGTGCGCAGAGTTGTGTGTCACAGCGTCTGAACAGCTGAGAGGACACAGACGCTCAAGTCTCTGGCACAAGTAAAGCATACTGTCAGCTCAACGGCACTTCCTCTCTCAGCAGCACACATGGAGGATAACTCATCCTCGCGCTACACAACCACTGTGACACACACAGCAGCATTTTGGCACGAGTGCACTATAATAATACTAAGATTACTGAAGGTAATAGACAAAGAGAAGCCGGGTGTTTAAAGTTTGTGTGCTACTGCTGTAGACGGTCATTATTTAAAATGAGAGCCATTTATGTACAGTATAAAAATTACTAATAATGAATAGCTGATGTCAAAGCTTACTATGTGTTAGAACAGCACTTTTTTAAACAAATAAAAAGATCTAGCAATTCATTTCTATTCCCTCTTTTAAAAGTAAATATCAATTTCAAACACATACACATATATACATATTAGGGCTGCACGATTAATCGCATGCAATATTTAACGCGCATCTTGTCAGAAAGCCGGTTCTGTTATCAGCGGTAAATCTCCATCACCTGCGTGCTTTCACATTGAGCAGCATTAACTACACAGAGCC